GGGGGGTTTGCATGCTCGTGGGGGGGTGGGTGCTCACAGGGGGGTGCACGGGGTGATTTGCACACTCATGGGTTTGCACACTGGGTGTCTGGTGCAGATGCCCCGTGCCAACCCAGCGGCTGGGTGAAGATCCAGGTGCCACCCCGGTCCCAGGTGGGGGTCAGGGTGCTCCTCCGGGTCCCGCTTGCCCTTTGGGTGCCAGCCTGGGTGCCTGGTGCTGCCCCACAGGCCATGCCACTGCTGAAAAAAACACCCAAGGAGGAGGAGGAGGATGGCGATCCCTTCGCCGCCAACCCTGAGAGCCGCTACTGCCGTCGGGCCACCCTGGAGCGCCTAGTGGGTCTGGCACCCTTCGGCCGCACCCGCCGCCCCCCCCCCAAAGATGGGGATGGGGACAGTGGCCAGGCGCGGCGGCGGTCGGAGGATTTCGGGCTGCTGCGGCGGCTGCCGGGGCGGCGCAAGGCCAGCGTGGAGGCACTGGCGGAAAGACCGGTCCCCAAGCGCAGCTCACTGCTACGGCTGGCCTTGGGGACACGGGGACGGCGGGCATCCACAGGCGAGCGCTCTCCAACGGTGGAGAGCGAGGGGGTGTCTGATGGGGACCAGGACAGCGGGGGACAGCGGCAGGAGGGGCGCGGAAAGGCCAGGGAGCCGCTCTCGGGTGAGAGGGGACGGGAGGCATGGGGATGGGGTCGGGGGGGACATGAGACATGGGCATGGGGACATGGGACATGAGAATGGGGACTGGGGACATGGGGATGGGGACAAGGGGATGGGGACATGAGAGGACCATGGAATCTAGAGCGTGGGCGTGGGGCCATGGGGACACAGGAGGGCATAGGACATGGAGGGACACTGGCATAGGGATTGTGGGACATGGGAACATGGGACCACCGGGAGCACGGGGCATGGGATGTTGTGAGATGGGGACGCGTGCCAGGGGCCATGGGTGGCCTTGGGTGCCATCAGAGCACCCATGGCTGCCCACCCCCCACCAGTGCTGGAGATCCTGGAGCTGATCCAGCGGCGGGAGCTGGTGGCGGCTGACGAGCAGATCATCGCGCTGGAGGCAGAGTGCATGGCCTCCTGCCCATCCCTGTCCCCGTCAGTTGTCCCTGCAGCTGGGCGGCAGGCGCGGGACGTGGCGCTGCTCTACGAGGCACTGCTGGCGCAGCTCTGGGCAGTGGTGGGTGAAGCGGTGCCCGCCGGGCGCCCCTACCCGCCCTTGCGCTCGGTGATCCGGGTGCTGGAGCAGGAGGAGGCGGCCGACAGCCGGCACCCGCCGGGCACCCCAGGGCGCCCACGCGCCCTCCGGCGCCGCTGGCTGGTGGGCGATCTGGGGGCTGTGCGGTGCCACGTGGCACCCGCTTACCCCCCCGAGTACGGCGCCTTCGGGGTCTACGCCCGCGGGTACCACCGGGCGCTGGCACAGCAGCTGGGCGCGCTGGCACAGAGACCCCTCGCCGTGCCCGACCTCTACCTGCTGCTCGACTGGCACAGCAACACCTACCCCAGGTGAGACCCCCCCCCAGCACCCGCTGTCACCCACTGGACCCCACAGCACCCGCTTACCCCCCCGAGTACGGCGCCTTCGGGGTCTACGCCCGCGGGTACCACCGGGCGCTGGCACAGCAGCTGGGCGCGCTGGCACAGAGACCCCTCGCCGTGCCCGACCTCTACCTGCTGCTCGACTGGCACAGCAACACCTACCCCAGGTGAGACCCCCCCCCAGCACCCGCTGTCACCCACTGGACCCCACAGCATCCATGCCCCCGCCACACTGGGCACTCCGTGCCAGCCAGTGCCACCCCCTGGCACACTGGCCACCCCTAGGGCTGTTGCCTGGGTGATGGTGAGTGCTGGGCACCCCGGTGCCACCCTGGGCGGGCGCTGTGAGGTCCCTGTGCCCACAGGGAGGTGCTGGGGCACCCTGAGGTGGGGGCCCTGCTGCAGGCGCAGGCGCTGGGGCCCCTCCTGCCCCCCGAGACCCAGCGCAGCCTCGAGAGCTCCTGCATTGCTGCTGTCAAGGTATGGGCACCGCAGCGGGCACCGGGACAGGCAAGGGATGGGGACTGGAATGGGGGCAGGGATGGAAGCATGGTGGGCACCAGGGTGGCACTGGGATGGGAACACTGGGCATTGTGGTGGCACGGGGAGGGGCATCAGGGTGGCACTGGGATGGACACACAGTGGGCATGGTGGTGGCACTGGGATGGGCACCGGGATGGGCACAGGTACAGTCCCAGGGCTAGGTGCTGGCAGGGGACCCTGCGCCCTGCTGTCCCCACGCCCGGTGTCCCCATGCCCTCTGTGCCCGATGTCAGGCGAAGGTGGAGGTGGCAGTGGCGCAGGAGCTGCAGCTCAGCGAGGACATGTGGGCGGAGGAGGCCTCCAGCGAGGAGCTGCAGGAGGGACTGGCCACCCGCATCACCGGGGTACGGGCACAGTGCCCACTGGGCACCTGCACCCCTGGGCCCATCCCCTGGCGACCCAGGGTTCTGCGGGGTGACCCACAGCCCCCTAAGGGTGCTGGGGTGGCTGGGTACCCCACAGAGGTGCCAGGGTGCCTGGGTACCCCATAGGGATGCCAGGGTGCCTGGGTACCCCATAGGGGCACTGGGGTGGCTGGGCACCCTGTAGGGACACCAAGGTGCCCACGTACCCCATAAGGACGCCAGGGTGCCCGGGTACCCCATAGGGATGCCAGGATGCCAAGGTGCCCCAAGGGGATGGCGGGGTGGCTGGTACCCCAGGGGACGCCAGGGTGGTGGCCATGTCCCCAGGGGACAGCAGGCTGGTGGCCGTGCCCCCGTCCCCAGCGGTGCCCGTGCCCACAGCTGCTGCGGGCGCACGTGGACCGAGCCCCCCAGATCACCCCTGAGTTTGGCATGGAGATGGCACACAGCCTCCTGGGCGTGCTGGTGGCCTTCCTGCACAGGTGGGCACGGGGACAAGGGGGGGACATGAGGGCACAGGGATGTGGGGGGACAGGGGATGGGCACAGGGACATGGGCACTGTGGGGGGACAGGAGCCACAAGGCACAGGATAGAGCTGGGATGGCCATGGGGGGCACGGGGGGAGCATGGCACATGGGTGCCGGGACCCCTGGGTGCTGTGTTCCCAGGGTGCCGTGTCCTCTGGGTGTTGGGGTCCCCTGGGTGCCGGGTCGCCAGGGTGCCAGCACAGATGACCCGTGTGGGTGCCCTCAGTTTCCAGCGGAAGGTGGAGCGGTTCCTGGAGGCCCCCGGCGAAGCCACCCCACCTGATGGTGCCACTGGCCGGGCCATCGCCCTGGTCAACTGCTGCCCCCCCTTCAGGTGAGAGCACCCCGAGCACCCCCTCCTCGCGTCCCTGGGGTGCTCGGGGGGCTCAGGGCCTCCGGCAGCACCCGCTGACCTCTCCATGGCAGGACCTTCGCCGAGCGCCTGGCACAGTTTGGACACCCGGAGAGCGAGGAGCCCCGGCGCCAGGCTCACGCCGCCCTGGACAAGGTGACCCGGCTCTGCAACCACGTCCTCACCCAGCGCCTCTTCGAGGACCTCAAGGTGCCCACACGGCGCGCGGTGGCCTGGGGAGGGGACAGCCAGCGAGGTGCACCAGGGTGCTGGGCAGGGTGCCCATCAGTTGGGTGCTGAGCCAGGGTGATGCTTATGGTGCCTGTTGGTTGGGTGCTGAGCTGGGTGACACCCATGGGTGCGATGCTCCTGGTGGCCTCCTACCCCCTGGGCACCACCCAGGGTGCCACCCATGGGTGCTGGGACAGCTGCCCACCCTAGCTGCTCTCCCCCAGCCCTACTTCAACAAACTAATGAAGCGCAAGTGGCTGACGAGCTCCGACGCCTTCGACACCATCGTGATGCTCATCACCAGCTTCACCCAGAAGCTGCGCCCACTGCGCCCCGAGCCCTACCAGGTGGGTGCTGGGTTTGACACCGCAGGGCGACTGCCATCACCGGTGGCTTCTGTTGACCCTTGTGCCACAGGTGCTGGTGAGCGAGGTGCACCGGCGGGTGCTCATCGAGTACGTGCGGCCGCTGCTGCAGGTGCGCTTGGTCTGCACCTCGGCCAAGATGCGTGCCCGGGTGGCCGCCCGCCTTGGGGACGAAGCCCGCCAGCTCCGTGAACTCTTCAGCCGCTTGGTGAGAACGCATCCCCTCCCCGGCACCCTTGGGTGCTCCTCGGGTGGGGGCACCGGCGCTGAGGTCCCTTGCACCAGCAGGATTCGGCCTCGCCCTGGCTGGATTCGGTGGTGCCACGGTTGAGGGAGCTGCTGGTACTGGAGGACACGGCGGCGCTGCAGATGGAGGTGGGCGTCCTGGTGAGGGACTTCCCCGACGTCCGGTGAGTGCTGGCAGCCAGCGGTGGCCCCAGGGGGATGGCAGTGAGGTGGCATGGCCAGGCGGGACACCATGGCCCCATAGGGACAGGAGTGGGGTGGCACATGTCCCCCATAGGGACAGGAGTGGGGTGGCACATGTCCCCATAGTCGCTGCAGCAGAGTGACATGGCCAGGCGAGATGCCACCTCCCCGTAGGGAGGGGGGCAGGACACGGTGTCCCCACGGAGACCGGAGCGGGGTGACAGGACGCCGCGTCCGTCCTTCCCGGCAGCCCCCGCCCCGCTGCCGCTCCATCCTGGCCGCCCGCCGGGAAGCGGCTGCAGCCTCGCGCCAAGTCCCGTCCCCAAGGGGGGCCGGTGGCACGCGCAGGCCCGGCAGGACGCCGCCACTTCGGGGGCTTTAAATAGAAGCAGTCCTGGCTGCAACTGGTACCAGTTAAACCTGGGACCGGGATTTGCCCCAGGGCTGGGTGTAACACTGTGCCCCAATGCTGGGTGCATGCCTCTTCCCAGATCTAGGTGCATTGCTGTGCCCCAGGGCTGGGTGCAATGCTGCGCCCCAAAGGCGGGGTGCATGCCTTGCCCTGAGCTGGGTGCGACGCTGCTCCCCAAATCTGGGTGCATGCCTCTCCCAGGGGCCTGGGGTGCCCAGCAGTGGGTGTCCCCGTCCCCTGAGCATCCCCATCCCACAGGCGGAAGCATGTGGCGGCGGTGCTGGACGTGCGGGGGCTGCGGGGTCAGGCGGCGCGGCAGGAGATCCTGGGGGTGGTGCAGGACCTGGAGCAGAGCGAGGCTGAGCCGGGGCTGCCGCGCCAACGCGCCTTCTTCTCTGAGCTGGCCGTGGCCCGCGAGGTGCGATGCCTCCCTTTCCACCTGCCGCGCCTGGCGCGCCTCTCCCGCCTGCGCCTGCGCCGCCCGCACCCCCAGCGCCCTGGCCAGGCACGGCTCTGAGCGCCCGCACCCGCAGGTGGGTGCTCACCTCCCTCAGAGAGGGGTGCATCACTGCACCCTGGAGCTGGGTGCAATCCTGCCCTCCAAATCTGGGTGCCTGCCTCCCCCGGAGCTGGATGCATTGCCCTGGCTGTGCTCGGAGCCCCCCAGGCCCGGGGGGGCTGTGCTGCCCCAGGCCAGAGCCCCTGGGACTGTGTATAAATGGTGTCAATGCTGTAAATTAACGCTGGCGCCAGCTCTTGTCCTTTGCTCTCACTCCAGGTCTGCGTGTGTGGGGACAGGGGACACGGGACCACCTCACGCATGGGGACGGGGGCCACGGGGCCACTGCGTGCACAGGGGCTGGGGGACACGGGGCTGTCCCCATGCGCAAGGGACAGAGGACACGGGGCCATCCCCGTGTGGGAGCTGGTTCCTCGTGCAAGGCCCCGTCCCGTGGTGGCCACTCCGGGGAGGGGAGGAAGGAAAGGGCCGCCGGTGCCTCGCCGGGAAGCCACTGCGGGGGGAGGACAGGGGGACACGACTGCCCTTCCCGGCACGGGGGGGACACCCGTCTGGACCCTGACGGGTGGCAGGGGGTTGGGGACAGTGTGACTCAGCCAAGGGCAGGATCGGGCCCGGGGGAGGTGGGGGGGAAGCCACCCTGGCCCCGCTCCATCCCGCCCCACCCCGCCTTCGCGCCCGGGACCCGGGGCCCCC